GTATATTGTTTTTGTATCCTGCAACTTTACTGAATTTGTTTATTAGTTCTAACAGTTTTTTGGTGGAGTCTTTAGGGTTTTATGTATATAATATCATGTCACCTGAAAATAGTGACAGTTTTACTTCTTCCTTTCCAATTTGTATGCCTTTTATTTCTTTTTCTTGTGTAATTGCTCTGGCTAGGACTACCAAATCTATATTGAATAAGGGTGGTGAGAGTAGACATCCTTGTCTTGTTCCTGATCTTAGAGGAAGAGCTTTCAGATTTTCACCATTGAATCTGATGTTAGCTGTGGGCTTGCTGTATATGGCTTTTATTACGTGGTGGTACATTCTCTCTATACCCACTTTGTTGAGAGTTTTTTTTTTTCTTTTCTTTGTTGAGAGTTTTTATCGTAAATAGTTGTTGAATTTTTTCAAATGCTTTTACTGCATCTATTGAGATGATCACACGATTTTTATCCTTCATTTTATAATATGGCATATCACATTGATTCATTTGCTGATGTTGAACCATCCTTGCATCCCTGGAATAAATCTCATTTGATCGTGATGTATGATTCTTTTAATGTATTGTTGAATTTTGTTTGTTAATATTTTGTTGAGGATTTTTGCATCTATGTTCATCAGGGATATTGGCCTATAATTTTCTTTTCTTGTGCTGTCTTCATCTGGTTTTGGTATCAGGGTAATGCTGGCCTCATAAAAGGAGTTTGGAAGCATTCCCTCCTCTTCCAATTTTTGGAAGAGTTTGAGAAGGATTGGTATTAATTATTTTTTGAATATTTGATAGAATTTACTGTGAAGCTGTCTGGTCCTGGACTTTTGTTTGTTAGGAGGTTTTTGATTTCTGATTCAATATCCTTACTAGTAATTCAGACTTCTATTTCTTCATGATTCGTGGTTTCCCCTTCATGATTGGTAGGGGAAAGAGTTTTATTCCAACTCTGCCCTTAAGGATTTATGTGATAAATTATTCATTTATCCACCAACCAGGTGGATAGCATAGGTCTAGGCACCAATAAAAGAAGCAGGGTACTCGGTTCTCCAGGAGCTTCCAGTCCAGAAGTCTTTTTTAATTAAAAAATTATTTTGAATAATTATTGTGTTCACATGGTTTAAATGTCAAAAGGTCAAAAGACAAAAGGTGTAAAATCTCCTACCTCTGACCTCCCAGCCGTCTAGTTCCCCACTCATGAGGCAACCACTGGTAATAGTTTCTTCTACCTCTTTCTAAAGATGTTCTTTCTGTGTTGTTCAGTGGTTTGTAACAAGGCCCAGGAGAGATGGAGCTAATTGGGACCACCTAGGGAAGAATTTTCTAAAGGTACATGGCTGCAGCCATCAGGAGATGGGGTCAGGGAGGACAGGCAGGCATGGATATTCTGCCATGGCTGGATGGAGTTTTGTGAAAGGTTGCTATCTTCAGCCTCTCTGGGTCTCCTTGTTCCTCATTTATGAAACCCCTAATCTAGGGTTTTAAACTTTTTTGTTCGTTGAACCCCTTTAGCAATCTAAAGGAATCCATGGACCTCTTTAAATGCACACAATGAAATATATAGGATTATAAATGTAAGTCAATGTACATTGAAATATGCCTGTTTTCCCACTTGGTAGGCCCAGGGGAGTCCCATCACACAGTGATTCCTTCTCTGAGGAGGGCTGGAGCCAGCTGGTTCCCATGAGCTGTTTTGGTTCCTGGCACTGCTTGGGGGCCTGGTGATGTTGACTAGGAGAGGAGATGGGGAAGAATTCCCTCCAAGATTGCTTTGTAAAGAGTCAAATGAACAATCCATTTTCCCTGATCATTAGCTTCCCCTCTGCACCAGGTCTCCTCTCCTAACTGCAGATGCGTAAGTTTGTCCAGCATTTGGTTTCTAAAAGGTGGTAGCACTGTTCCGGGAAACAGAATCCCAGTGACCTGAGTGGGAAGTGGCTGCTAAGTAGATGGTGTCTGCCTGCCTCTCAGCCCTGCCCTCAGAGACCAGGGGAGCATTTCTCAGCTGGCCTGTGTGAGTTGTAGCTGTGTTACTCTCTCCTCCCCCGTCACTCGAATCTTAGCCTCAGAGATGGGCCCTGTCCCTGATCAAGCTTCTGTTTCTTGCCTGGTGGTGGGGTCGCCCACAGGGGCCATTCTGAGGGCAGTGAAACCTCATAGGTGCTTGGCTGGGCTGGCAAACATCTCAGAGCTGTCTTGCCATCAGATGCAAAAGGAAGTTACGTTCCTGCAATTGACTTCTTTCCCTCTTCCTTCTGGTGTTTGGGGTGGGGTGACATGGGGGTTCTGAAGGGAGGTGGGCATTTTAAGCAATGGAGTCTTGGGTGGTCTAGGCTATTTTTTCTTTTCAAACAATTTAACATTGGCTAAGACAACATCAAGCATTTTAGTGGATCTGTTTAAAACACGTAGCAGTGCAATGATTTCCAATGCGCCAGAGTCACTTCAGACTCCACACACAGGTGCATACATACTTGCACATTTACACCTTCATTAAGGCAAATAGATAAAGAGGAGAAAAGCCCACAAGTTTGTTTATCCATTTATTCCAAAAATATGTAATGAGCCCTTGCTATGCACTAGGCACTGTCCCGAGATGAGCAGTAATCAAGATGGGCACGGCCCCTGCTTCCGTGGAGTTTACAGTTTAGAGGGAGGAGATGGGCAACGAACAAATAAATGAATGACCTAGAAAAGTATCGTGTGGAAATATGCTCTCCAGAGAAGTGGGTTCAGGATGTGACAGTGCGACAGGGTCCCGCTCTACACAGGTGAGGAGGGAACACCCACCTCCTGAAGGATGTTTCTAGCGTCAGCGAGATGCAGGGGTCAGGGGGACATGGTGCCAAGGCCTTGGGGTGGGTATATGCCTAGTGTGTTTAAGGCACCGAGAGAAAGCTGGAAGTGGGGTCAACTGGGAGCAGGGGCCAGATCCAGAGGCCTCATAGTCTGGAGGGGGATTGAGATGCTATGTAACCTTTGAAGGTTTCTAAGCGAGTGAGTGGAGAGGTGCAGAGGTGGAGTAATTTCACTCAAGGTCACCCAGCTGGAGGGGCAGAACTGGGATTTGAACCCTAGCCGGGCGGGCTCCAAGCCTCTGCTGTGTGTGCCTTTCTGGAAGTGCAGTCCTGGGCAGCTTTTTTGTTGTTGTTATCAATTTACTTTTATTAATTTTTTAATATGTGTGAAACATTGTTATAATTTGCATTTCTTTGACCACTGAGACTGAACACTTTTTTTTTTTGTGTGTGGGAAAGATCAGCCCTGAGCTAACATCTGTGCTAATCCTCCTCTTTTTTTTTTTTTGCCGAGGAAGACTGGCTCTGAGCTAATATCTATTGTCAATCCTTCTCCTTTTTTTCCCCCCAAAGCCCCAGTAGATAGTTGTGTGTCACTGCTGCACATCCTTCTAGTTGCTGTATGTGGGACGCGGCCTCAGCATGGCCGGAGAAGCGGTGCGTCGGTGCGCGCCTGGGATCCAAACCCAGGCCGCCAGTAGCGGAGCACGCGCACTTAACCGCTAAGCCACAGGGCCGGCCCTGAACAGTTTTTTATATGTCTATACTTTTTTAATTGTGATAAAATATATATAACATAAAATTTGCCATTTTAACCATTTTTAAGTGCACAATTTAATAGCATTAAGTATATTTACACTGTTGTGCAGCCATCACCACTATCCCTTTCTAGAACTTTTTCATCACCCCAAACAGAAACTCTAGAGCCATCAAGCAAGAACTCCCCATTCTCCCTCCCCCAACCCCTGTTAACCTCAAACTACTTTCTATCACTATGAATTTGCCGAGTCTAGATATTTCGTATGAGTAGAATCATCCAATATTTGTCCTTTGCATCTGGCTTATTTCACTTACACAATGTCCTCAAGGTTTGTTCATGTGGTATCATGCATCAGAACTTTATTCCTTTCATGGTTGAATGATATCCCGTTGTATATATATGCCACATTTGTCTATCCATTCCTCCATTGATGGACACGTTGTTTCCACCCCAGGCAGTTTTCTATGTGGAGACAGGACCTTTCTAGCTACTCACTCCAGTTCTGGGGATACTTTCTGGAGCCTGGAGAATCTGCGTCTGCCTTGGGCGGGGGGCTGACTGACCCTCCACTATGTGTGGTTAGGATGGTGCTCAGCTGTTTCAGGTAACTAATCCTGGACTGTTTCAAAAGCCCAGGTGAGCACCGCTGTTGTTCTCGTGCTGACATCAACTCTAATTTGGTTCTTTTCCTGTCCTCTTCATGGACTCATAGACTCAGAGTCTCTAGAGAGGTTTTTTCGTCATTTGCTTCTAAGCATGAAATCACCTTCTGTAGTTGGAAATTTAGCTTGTTCTTGAAAGTCCCCAGAGTAGCCACATGTCTCTGCTGGGTGACCCAGGGCAGGCATGCCTAACTGGCCTCAGTTTTCTCATCTGTAAAATGCCGTAAAACCCCTTCTGAGAGATGACACATCCTTCCCAGACAGACAGGTCAAGAAGTTCCTTTTAATTCAAATCCAATTTCTTCCTTGCTACTTGTACTTTAAGCCTGTCCCCCTCTCTTCTCTGTGAGAAGCAACTGGTCACCATCCGCCCCACAGTAATCCTGTATTTCCTGGGCCACGGCTGTGATGTCTGTGGTGCCTCAGCCTCTGATGAAATGACGAAGCGGAATGCCCAGGGTCTAAGGCAGATGGATTGCAGCTCCCCCGCCCGTGGGGTTTCTTTTCTTCCTCCTTGACAACCAGCGCTGCTGTCTGACAGGAGCCCCCTTCCCTCTGCGTCCAGCCTCTCTTCGGAGGCCTGGCAGCTCCTCGGCGGCCTCAGGAGAGTTTGGTTTGTGCCTTTCCGGATGAAGTGCCCCCTCTCTCATTGCCAGGAAATAAATGATGCTGGTTGTCACCTGTTCACTCCTCAGCCACCAGCCATGTGAGAGGAGAAAATTCACACTGCATCAATCTCCCCTGAGGTACTAGGCCACTCACAGCGGTTTTTCTTTTTCAGAACAATAAATCTGAAAAATCCTGTGCTGCAGCAGGTGCTGGAGAGCGAGAATGAGGTCCTGTGCGTCCTGACACAGAAGATAGTGACAACGCAGAAATGTGTGATATCTGAGCACGTTCAGATTGAGGAGCAGTATGGCGGCATGATGGGAATCAAAACCAAGACCATGCAGGTGTGTGCGTCCAGGGGCTGGAAGCTGGGGTCAGAGGTCACAGCGGCCTCTCTGGTCCCAACCATGGAGGCCTTGGTCAGGGGCCTCTTTGGATGATGTCTTCATTCATCAGGACTCTTTCTGTAGTAGTGAGTTAACAGAAATCCAACTCGAATTGGTTTAAACAAGAAAGAATTTATTGGCTCGTGTAACTGAAACTTTTGGGGTATCTAGCTTCAGTCACAGCTGGATCCAGGACTTGGAGAACATTGTGAGCTGCCTTCCTTGGAGGTGGATTCCCTCTTAGGTGGACTCTCTCCTTGTGGTATGGGAGCTCCAGGCTTTCATCCCACCTGCTGCAGCTGCAGGGGAAGAGTGCCTCAGGGCTGGTGCTCTCTGGACCGTCCCGGGGTTGTGCCCATTCCTGAAGCAGACCCAAGGCCAGGGCAATGGGACACTTGGATTGGCCATGCAGGCTTGGGTCAGGCACATCCCCAAAGAAAGTGGGTCAATGAGCACTGGCCAGGCCAATGCATAGATAACTCCTTGAGCCCCTTGGAGCCAGGGGTCTCAAAATGATTACTTTGGGATTAGCTGCCTGAAGTCCTTTGTGTATTGAGTTAGGGAAAGTCGCGATCAGTACATGTGTCTATATATACATAAACAGATGCTTCTGGATTAAATTATAGGCAGTCTTACCAACCTGACCCTTGAGCCAGTATTACACTTCAGTTGAACAGGAGTCTGTCAGCCCCAAACAGTTTCCCCTCCAGCTTGCCGTGGTGCCTGATATTCTGTTCTTAGAGATTTGCTTCTGGGGCTAACTTTAGGCTTTTACAGAGGATCCAGGAAAGTTGTATTGGAAGAAGGTAGAGATACAGGTCTGGAGCCGGACTTTCCCTGGGGTGGGGAGGCTGGGCAGCTTGGACAGCAGCGATGAGGGAGGTGCCCCATGGGAGAATGCTTCGGCGGCCCTGCTGATGTTTCTGTCCGTGGTGACCCCACTGAAGGTCTGGAGCCTGCCTGGGAGTTGGGAGGCTGGCTGTTGTCATGCTCTAACCAAGATCAAGTTGCTGAAAAAGGTCTCTGATCTCCCATGTTTGGGTAACAAATAGATTCTCACCTTCCTTTCCCCAGGCCATTGTGGGCATGGGTCATATCTGTAACAGGAGAGGGCTCTGGCGCCTAACCGCTTGGCATTTCCTGCCCATCCTTCTCTCGTCCTTGCCTCTCCTCCCTCCAGCCTCTCTCCTGGTTTTGTCTAACAGCAGTGTGCCATCCACAGGAGTCTGGGATGACATGCTTGGGGGTTCTTGCTCTAAGCTAGGTTCTCCCAATCAGGCTTTGATATTGTTTTGTATTTTCATTAGGATTTCAAAGTGGTTTCCATAATCCTCCTTGAGAGAAATGGGAAGTTATCTTGTCTTATTTGTTATCTTTTATTTTTTTTTTGAGGAAGATTAGCCCTGAGCTAACATCCGTTGCCAATCTTCCCCTTTTTGCAGAGGAAGATTGGCCCTGGGATAACATCTGTGCCCATCTTCCTCTACTTTATATGGGACGCTGCCACAGCATGGCCTGACAAGTGGTGCGTTGGTCTGCACGCAGGATGAACCCCGGGCCGCCAAAGTGGACTGCGTGAACTTAACTGCTACGCCACTGGGCCAGCCCTGTTGTCTTTTTTATTCAGCACTGTAGATCTAACTTCACTGCATTCCAAACTCTAGAATTTGACTTTTGTGCCACCAGGTCAGGTTGGCCATTTTCTTGGGAATGTGTATACACGTCACGAGGCCAACAAGGATTAAATCCTTACCTCTGCTGGCTGCCTCCTCATGTCCACTCGGTTCTGTGGGCATTTTCTGGGCACTTATTGTGCACAAGGCACTAGGTTGGCCACAGTGGGGAGGCAAAGAGAAGCCTGAGCACACAGGTGGGAGCACGTGCTCTCGCCCACAGGTGTCAGTGACGAAGAATGGCAACATTTCCAAGAACACCAACGTGGCGCTGGAGATCCCGGCTCCCACCACCATTGCCTACAGTGTCATCGAGCTGTATGTGAAACTGGATGGCCAGTTCGGTGAGTGCCACCTCCTGCTCGGGGCTCTCAGAATGGTTGAGCCATCGCTGAGGGACACCCCATCTTCCCCTGAGGCACACACTTGTAGAGGCTCCCCTACCGCTTTGGGGATTGATAGGCAAGAGATACTGGAAGAGTTTGGGATATCCCATGATGAGTGAGATAAATGGGCTGCGTTGCTGAGGGATGCCCAGATGTCGGGTGGGGCAAGGTTTCACCCACACAGCACAGGATTAAGACCATGGGCTCTGTGATCAGACAGGCTGGGTGTCAATATCAGTGCCACAGTTTCCTGTGAGGTCTCAGGCAAGTGGTTGAATCTTGCTGAGCCTCACCCTTCTCTGGAAGGGGAAAGACATTCCATCAGAGGGCTGCGATGAGGATTAAATTAGATGAGGCGTGGGGCCGGCCCCGTGGCTTAGCGGTTAAGTGCGCACGCTCCGCTACTGGCGGCCTGGGTTCGACGCTGGGCGCGCACCGATGCACCGCTTCTCCGGCCATGCTGAGGCCACGTCCCACATACAGCAACTAGAAGGATGTGCAACTATGACATACAACTATCTACTGGGGCTTTGGGGGAAAAAAAAATTAGATGTGGTGTATGAATTGCCTGGCACAGCGGTCATTTATTGAGTACTCCACCTTAGCTATTAATAATACTATCATCATCATCATCAACTCCTTCCCTTCCCCCAATATGAAGCCAAAAATGCTGTACTTGATCTTGCTCTGCAGCAGATCACCAGTGTGTTCAAAGCTGGGAGGTCACTGCATCATTTAAAGAAAATAAGGGCTTTGGCTTAGCTAGTGTCTGCCGGTCTTAGGTGCTCACGGCCCCTCCCTCATGTTCTTCCTGAGAAGAAGTTGTGTTGAGCCCAAGAAAACCGTTTGACCACTTCTTGGGGATGTGAATCACGAAATGTAACATAATAAATTATTGTTAACCATTTTAGGTGTGGTAATGATATTATGGTTATGTTTATGAAAAAGAGTTACCTTATTTTTTAGAGATTTATACTGAACGTTTCACAGATGAAATGGTAATATGTCTGCGGTTTGCTTCAAAAATAATCTGGGTGGAGAGCAGGGTGTGTGTGTGTGGGGTGGGCAGAGAGAGAGCAATTGTCGAAGCTGGTCGATGGGTGTGTGGAGGTTCATTATGCTATTCTCTCTATTCTTGTGCACTTTCATATTTTCCATAATGACAAAGTTTTAAAAAGTGTGCCATAATAGACCATGCACGTGTCTACTGCCGTCTCCTGCTCTTTGCTATTTGTTTTCTGTCAAGTGGCGAGGACCAGGGTAGCGAGGAGGAAGTCTTGCGGGAGTCAGCCTTTTGCACTCACTTGGCCCACACGAGTTACCACACCATTCGGCTACAGCTATAGGCACTCAGCAGGCTGAGAGTCCTTATGGGACAAGCACATGGGCCTGTGAGGAGCTGGAGGAGAGTCAGCTGAGGCATGGATTGCAATCGCCAGGCCTCCCTCTTTCATTTCACGGGGAGGTGACAAAAAGTAAAGGTGTCAATTTTAAGAAGTTGGTCTAGATAGGTAGGTCATAAATACTAGGAGTACCAAGAATTGTCACCTACATCATTTAGGCCCATAGTTCCAAATTTGTGTCATCCTAGGCATTTTTATCATTATTTTATTCTTTCTCTTTGAAAGACCTTTGTCTACTGAACAAACTGCATTAAGATGATTAAGTTGTCCCTTTGGTTTTTATTAGTGTATGGTAAGCCATGTTACCACATGTGCTATTGTGATTCCACACAGGGTGCTTATGCCTTGGTTATCCTGTCCAGATGGATTGGCAGGCAAGGTGTCGCTTTTGTAAGGCCTTTTGAAAGCTTGGCCAACACCCGAGGATGCCCATGAGTGCTGTGAAGACCCTTCAGTGGCTGGGAGCCCCGCTGGGGCTGCCACTCCAGGCTGCGGGGCCTGCGGCAGGCCCTTCTGGTTTCTCTGAGGTGGCGGCGGCACCCTGCCCTGCCTGCAGCTCTGTTTGGGCGCCTGTCGCTCCCACAGGGGGCCCCTCTTTTCTCAGCTGGGGTTGGAAAGGCACAGCTTTGCCTGGTGTGGCTCTCCTGTTTGCATTTCAATTTCCAGCCTTTTATCTTGGCTTGCTTCCGCTGTCTTTGAAAATGAACTCGTCTTTGTGCTGCTGAGAAGAGGTGCCCTGCGGAATTTTCGAGGTTCCTTTGGCTGACTTCCCATCCCTTGCCCAGGAGGCCCCGCTCCATTGCCCCTTCCCACTGCGGGCTGCCATGGCTGTGTAGCTTGGTGGTCGGGCTGTCTTGTGTGTGACTCACTGCCTGATTTTTGAGCTAGTTCTGCTTTTATTCCCCATCTGTGTTTTCTGTCACTCTTGCCACAGAATATTCTGATCTGGCTTCATAAACATAGAACTGCAGGGGCCCGAAGCGCTCTTAAGGGGCTGCCTGATCTCCCCTCCCTCCTTCCCAGTGGGAAGACATTTGACAAGGATCCTGTTTGTCCTTTGAAACTTTGAGAGGAGGCCGACTCCCTCCGTGTCCCTTGGGGGAGGCTGAGCGGCCCATCCTTGCTGAGGGGTTCTCTCAGCCACGACCCCTTCCTGCACCCACAGCTCCCCTCATGGCCACTCGGAAGCGTCATTTTATCGTCTTGAACTTTAGCCTGTGTCCTTTCAGCCCAGCACCCTGTGGGTGTGAACCTGTGCGTCCCACCCTGCTGGGGGTCTGTGCGCGTCCATGTGTCCCGCCCTGCCGGGGTCTGTGCACGTCTCTGCAGGTCTACTGGCCACGACACCAACATTTCCCCGCCAGTTCCCACCAAGGACTCTTAATTGGCTCTTCTGCTTCTCTGAATCTTTCCCCGTCTGTTCCATCTTAGCAGTGTAGCCAGTGTGAGTATTTAAAAATAAAAATTTGGTCATTTTACTCACCCGCTCAAACAGCCTTCCAAGGCCCTCTCTGTCCCAAGATCAAGTCTGCCGCTTCCAGGCGCATTGTGGTCCCGCCCCTGCGTGTGTCCAGCCCTCCTTCTCATCTCCAGTGCCTCCAGATGCAGCCATCTGGTCCAAGTTAACCCACCACCTGGGAACGCTCCACTCTTGTCCTGGAGCCTTGTGACTGCTGCTCCTGTTTGGAGGTGGCTCTCTGCCTGGCTAATTCCTACCAAGCCTTCAGGAGGCTACTTAGACACTGCTTCATCCAAGAAACCTTTCTGGTTCTCTCTCCATACCCGTCACTCTGGCTTCAGTGACCTGCCCACGTCCTCCAGCACCACCCCACGTTACCCCTGTCCCCACTTGTACCATACTTATTGTCAAGGCCTGGGTTGTAGTCCTTTTGTGTCTCTGGCTTCTAGCACAGTGCCTGACACTGAAAAGAATGAAGGCATCTGCACTGCCCTTGGGGGTCTGTGCGTGTGTAAAGGCAAGAGTGGTGCTGGTGCCATAGGCTCCTAAAGTACCAATTGGGGGCCCACAGGACTCTTGGCAGGATTCGAGGCTGTGTTAATGGTCATGGTCCCTGTGCTTGTGGAGCAGAGTCCTTACTCACCTGGGGCCGATTCACACTTACCCACCTCAGTGCCTGGTGCCAAGGGTGGAGCGAGCTGGGGGGTGCCCAGTGAATGTGGGTCGTGGAGTGAGTAAAGGAAGGATTACTTCATTTGTCTTTAGACAGCTACGCTATCTTTATGAACGTCATTGGTGCCTACAAGCAAATGAAAATATATGCTAATACCCATGCCTTCCACATGTCACACAAGTACCAGGCTCAGCCACATGCTTATTCCATAGCCTGTGTTTAAGTACACAAATTATTAAATAGAAGCATGAAAAGAACCCTAATTCATGAGTTCACTTGTTGTTTTTGCTTAGCAAGGACACAATAACTGTTACATTTTTACCTACCACTTAGATACCTTAGTTGGGTTCTCAAGTAGGAAAGTATGTAAGGAACATTTTAAAAATTATTTTAAAAAACTTTTTATTATGGAAAATTACACACATGTTCAAAAGTAGAGATAATGTAATGAACCCCATGTACCTGGCACCCATCTTCAATAACTAGGACATTTCATGTGTCATCTATAACTTCACCACCTCCCTCCACCCTTACTCAATTGTTTTGAAGCAAATCCCAGGCATTATATTGTTTTGTCTATAAATATTTCAATCTCTAAAAGATAAGGCTTTTTAAAAAAAGATTAGTTTTGCCTTCATATCGATTCACATATATTCTTTTGTGTCTGGATTTTACACTCAACATGTTTGTGAGATTTGCTCATATAATTGCAGAAATCAGTAGTTCATTTTTCATTGCTGTGTATTATTCTATTTATCAGTGAAGAAAAGTTGACTCTTTTAGAACATAACCATATAAGATAATCATTTGTGTACCTAAATATATTCTCAATAAATCTGTCATATTATCAGTTTAGTCAAATTCAAATTTTCTTAGTTTCATATATGGTGAATTCTTTGTTTAGAGTTGGTTTGTTCAAACCAGGGTAAGGAAGTACTTCTGATGTTTGAGATTGCTTCCTGCCTGTTCAAAGAGGACACCCTGGAGAGATTTATGTTAACAGCAACCATTTCTCCTGAATTTGGAGGAAGGGGATGAGTTTTGGTCAAACAGCATAAAGTGTGTAGGAAGTGGGTTTATGGAGAAGAGGTGCCCCGCCCGAGTTAGGTGAAGCCACATCTAAGATGGGCCAACAAGGCCAGGCTGACTGTGTGCCTGACTTGCCCTTTTTCCTGTATTACAGAATTCTGCCTCCTACGAGGGAAGCAGGGGGGCTTTGAGCACCGGAGGAGAAGCGACATTATCTTCCTGGACCCCAGGCCCTTACAAGACATTGTGTGCTGGGACACGCCAGATGCTGGGCAGGGGCTGCCTACCCCGGATGGGCCGTTGAGTGTTTTAAAACAAGGTATTGCCAGCAGGGTGGGGCCTGGTGAGCTGATGGGTAATTGAGCGCTGTACCCCAAAAAGTAATGTGGCCTGCAGGAGTGGTGACTCCTTAATGACTCACGGAAAACATTTGAGAACAGAGAGGATGGTGCCTCTGAGCCAGTCCCAGTCCCCTCAGCAGGGTTCACCTGGGTCGGATCTTAGGGACCCTCAGGTCTTGGGTGCCATGTTTTGAGGAAGGGGTGGGAGACTGAGGAGTGTACGTCGGGGGCCCGGCATTTACTTTCATTTTAACTGCAGAGCCTTGCTGACTCCTAAGAATAGCCAGTCAGCAGCAAGGAGAGAGAACCCGAGTTCTGCATGTTTCATTATGTTCCAGGCTTCATTGCCAAGACAAGCAATGCTTTGTCAGCATTGCAAAATGCTCTCTTGGAGGCTTTCTCCACCTGACATGAAGCTGTATGGTGCCACGGCAACCAGCGAGGAGGAGGGGAGTACCTGTGACTTGCCTGCAGCAATTCCTTTTGCTCCCCACAGCGTTTTGGGTTTTAAAAAGTTGGTTTTTTGGGGGGAGGGGGAAGGGCGGGAATGCAGTATATAATAGAAGAGGAGATGGGCAAGGACAAGGAGACACAAATAATTAGGTAAGAGCTTAGTAAAAAGAGCCAGGAGCAGTTCAGAAGATGCTCTGGCTCGGAGGGTAAGAAGAGACTTATCTATGGGGCTTCAGTGAGTCCCAAACAGAAGATGCTTTTGGTTCTGTAGCAAAAATCTCAGGGTTGGAAGAAATAGCAGTGAAGGCCTGATCTTAAGATAAGGCTTTCTCGTCTTATGCAGGGCTGCAGGCCCCTCCTCTGCATCCTCAAGATTGATAATTGGGTGTGATTATCAGCTGCCACTTAAGCGCTGTTGATGTCACGGGTTAAAACCACAGCAGCAGTGGCCCTGCAGCCTTGAACTGTGCTACAGTGAAGTGACAAGACAGTCTGTGGGCTACAGCTTTCTTACAATTTCCTTTCCCACCAGTCCACCCTGTAAGTTGGCCATCTAGTCAGCCCAGGGTGGGGTGGGGAGGCTGGGCATGTTAGGCAAGAGTAGGGTGGGAGCCAGCCTGGCCTGTGTGCCCTTGGACCCTAGACCAACCAGGACAGCTCCTTTCCAGGCTGAGGTGGCAAAGACCTAGTTGTGTTTATAAGGCAGTTTTTGAATATGTCAGTTACTAATGTGACATGTTCCTCTCCATGGGGCTTTCTACAATTGTGTGCTGGAATTTGCCATCAGCAGAGGTGGTGCATTTATGTGTTAGCATGCTTCCCTGCATACAAAAGCTTTGGTTTATCAAATCTTGCTTTTAAATCTCCCTGGGCTTAATTTACTAGAAGCTTTTGACTATCTTAAAAAAAAAAAAAAGGAAGATTCTAAGGGGAGAGGCTTGAGCATTCTGCAGAGGATGTGAGTCACCCAGCTGGGTGGGGCTGTGCACTCATTCTCCAGGACGGGTGAAGAAGAATGAATGGCAAAGTGGAAGAGCTGTGTTTGCCGTGAAGATAGGGTGCCCGCCTCTTTGAAAAGCATGCATATTAAAGGATACAAAATCTGCCATGTATGAGAAGAAAGGACACGAAAAATAATGTATTTTGGAATTTGCATGGCTCCGAAGCATTGTAAAAGACTGATGTTTAGTAATTCAGCCTTGATAATTTATTTCTATAGAAATCATGCTAAACAGGAGTCTAAATGACTTTTACAGAAAATAATTTATTAGACTTAATGTTTAGTGGGTCATCAAAAAAGAGTACAGCCTGAAACAAAACTGGGTGGCCCTTTCTTTTCTGTCTTTCTGTCTTTTTCTGTCCTCCTCCCCTTCTTTCTTCTTGTGTTAGTTACTGGTTATTGACAAACACGCAGGGTGGTATTCAACTCGATGTCCTTTATTTCTGAGTTCCATGACTGACTGTGCAGCTGGAAGTGTCTATGAAAGAACTGAGGACAATTAGTTATAAAAAGCAAGAGCTGCTGTCCCTTGTTCTGAGACACGCATGGCAGTCATGAGAGTGAGTATGTGTTGCTGCTTTCACAGGGACTCTGCTCTTGGAGAAGTTCCATCCCTTTGTAGAGCTGCCGGAGCAGCAAAAGACAGCGCTGAGCAATGTCCTCCAGGCGGTCCTGTTTGATGAAGAATTACTCGTGGTCCTGGAACAAGTGGTAAGACCAGAGACGTCTCGAGGCACAGTGTGTCTCCACCTGGGTTTTCTGGAGATGTGGACAGGCTAGACCTCTTGGGATGAGGCTTGGAGCTGGAATAAAATTGTGTTTCAAATTTCCCCACCTCCTTTGAACCCTAAAGCTTCTTTTTTTCTTACTCTCAGCTCCTCAGTTTTCTAACTGCAGAAAGGGAGCTGATGTCAGGAATCCAAGGTTCTCCAGGGCTGCCGTAACAAATGACCACACACTTCGTGGCTTAAGACAACAGAAATTTATTCTCTTACAGTTCTGGAGGCCAGAAGTCTGAAGTCAAGGGGTCAGCCGGGCTATGCTTCCTCCAAAGGCTGCCCTTCCTTGCCTCCTCCAGCTTCTGGTAGCTCCTGGTGTTCCTGGGCTTGTGGCTGCATCGCTCCAGTCTCTCCTCTGTCTTCATATAACCTCCTCTGTGTCTGTGTGTCATCTCCTTTTCTGTCTCTTAAGAGACGCCACCATTGGATTTCAGGCCCACTCCAACCTCGGAGTGTCTCCTCTGGAGATCCTTACCTTAATTACATCTTCAAAGACTCTTATTCCAAATAAGGTCACATTCTGGAGTTCCAGGTGGACATATATTTTGGGGGCTGTTATTTAACCCACTACAAGGGGGCTATGTGGTAGAGTCCAACAAGTCAACCCATTCTATCTAGAACAGATTGAAAAGCAGGCTTCTGTATTTTTCTCTTTTGCAGCAGAAGGATTTTCTGGGGCAATCAAGTTCCTTAACTATTAGTTGTACAAATGGTGAGGGCACCCCCCGGCTGCCAACCTCCTGCCACCCAGACCTTGTGCTGTCCTTCTCTGAAGTAGGCCGGGTGATATAAACCTGATTTTTACTATGGTTGGTTGGTTTTTTTTTTTTTTTGGTCTTTTTGTTTTTCTGTTATGCAGAGAGTTTGAACTCTGATTTTCTGATTTAATGCCTTATGGTTTCCAGGAGATCATTCATATTATTTTTCCCTCTTGAAGTTGCATTGTGCCAAAGAGCGTAGTTACCAGTGATAGAACCTGCAGTTGTTGAAAGAGTTCCACAGCCCAGGACATTCTGGAGGATGCGGAGCTCCCGGGGGGGTATGCTGGCCCTGGGGAGAACACAGATGTTTCAAAAAGTCCACTGACTTCTACTTCCTAAAATAGCTCCTTCCAAGAGGGAAATGTCAGGCCAGCACCCTATGGAAAGAGCATCGGCTGCCCTGTCAGGCGCTGGAGAGGCAAGCTGCCCGAGTGGCGGGGGCCGGTGGGCTCTCACATGAAAGCATCTGGACATGGAGGCCACAATGGAGCAGAACTGGCTGGGTGATGTGGGTTGGCGAGGGCAGCCCTCACTGGCAGGGCCTCCCAGCTCCCAGCAGGCCCCGTGAGGATGGATGAGGCTGCCCCGGGCCCAGCTGGGAATGTGGCTGGGGGCTGGAGTGCCCAGTTTAAGGCTCAGGACCACAATGGGACGATGCTATTGTGTTCCCCCCCTCAGCCTGCGTGTCATCACCTGTTCCTGGTACAACCTGACAGACGCTGCCCTGGAAGGTTCTACCCAATAGTTCCTGCACACCCCCTCCCCTCGCTGTGGAAGAACAGTACCCAGGCGAGGCTGTTTACTGTCTCCTTAGGAGGAAGTCTGACCTGGTAGATTAGTAATTTCAAAACATAGACGAGAGCTTCAGATCTTGCTTTACGTGGGAGGCGGTGAAGGACAAGGGGTTACGTCGTGGGGCAGAGGCTGGGTTGTGCCCAGCTTGGCCTCTAGCTTCATCACGTCTGTCTCTGTTCTCTCCCCCTGCAGTGTCATGACTTGGTCAGTGGCCTGTCGCCCCTATTGCCGACGTTGGGGGAGCTAAAGCCCCTGCAGCAGCAGGACCTCACGGCCTTCCTGCGGCTGGTGGGGTGCAGTGTGCAGGGTGGGTGTCCCGGCCTGGAAGATGCAGTCAGCAACCAGAAGCTCTTTTCTACGGCCTATTTCTTGGTCAGTGCACTAGCAGGTACGGAAAAAAGAAAGAAATGCTGTTGTTGCTTTGAAATTGCTTTGCTCACCATTGTGGAACATTTGGTAGATGTGGTCCCCTCCCTTTCAGCAGTACGGGGAGGACAAGAAGTGGAAGGCCGAGGAAGTTGACACGATTGCCAGGAAAGTCATAGACTTAAGCATGAAGGAGGCTCCACTGTCCACTGCCAGCCTCCTCACTCTTGCGGAGAGCCCTTCTCTTTCCTGCCCCAGCCAGGGCTGTCTGCGGGCACACCGACGCAGGCGAGCGTCTCCTCAAACACAGCCTGTGGTTCACACTGAGCGCTGGCAGTGCTGAGTGGCTTTCATCTGGCAACTGCTCTCTCCCCCCGTGTCTCGGTCCTTCTGATCCTCTTGTTCCTCTCGGCAAACCCGTCGCGCCACTCCCAGGGCAGCGTTGTGGCCATTGCGGCAGGGAGGCTGCAGAGAGCATCCCAGTGCAGCACCACAGCTTCCCTGCTGGTCCCGAAAGGGCGCTCCCAGGGCCGTGGACATCCCGTTATTGTCTAGCAGTGGACCCTGCTGTGCCCCTTCTCTCCCACTCCCATCCAGAACTTACCATGCCACAGGGTCTGGTATCACAAGGTGGTCATCCTGCGAGGAAGCTGGGCTTTCAGTTCCTTCTCAGAAAGGCAAGACTGACTTGGCAAAGCAGCTCAGTTTCCTAGACCCCACAACTTCCCTTCAAGGTCCTATTAGGCAGTTCTTGCTGCATTCAGGGTTCCTCCCCAGTACCACACAGGAACAGAAGTCCAGGAATCTTCAGTTTTTAAAGAATTAATCAGAGAGAATGCCTCTCCCAGCTCTGTATGCTGATGAATGTATGCTCTATGTCTTGTTCCAAGTCACGGATAAAAGTTTTGACTGGGACGGGACATAAGACAGGGCCCTGTGGAACTCCGCTAGAGGCCTTTCCCCAATGTTAACATCACTATATTAGACAGAGTCTTTAAATACAGGCATTCTATCAGGAGCTAATCCACAGGCCAGAGTTCTCCAGCTTGTAAGAGGCCTTTTCTTCACATACCCTATTACTGAAACATTTCTATCAACAGGCTAGATCAGTGATGTCAAATATGTAGCACGTGGCCGACATTGCGAATGCACCACAGTCCCCTTCTCTCTGACCCTGGACACAGCTGCAAATTCTCTGCAACCTTGCACACAGGCAGCCACTCCGAATTGACACATAACATGAGACTTACTTGTTGTTTCTGAGCTGGAAGCTTGGGGATAGTGAAATCTAAGTGCTCCTGAAAATATCTACAGCCAATTTCTAAACCAACGATGCCCTTCTGCATCTCTCTGAACTGAGATCTCATTTACATGTCAGTCACTGCGGAGGTCAGATCACTATAAAGCTTTTTCATTAGTGATCTTGTTAATCTTCAGCCCTTTTGAGTTGACCTTTTCCTCCTATGACAACAGTCTTATTTCCTTAGAATCTGGGGAAAGTGCTGGAATAGAAAATGGCCTTGAGTCCTATTTCCAGCTTTCTAAATAATAACCAGTTTTTGGCTTTATAGTGCTTAACTTTTTAATTGAGATATAATTAACATATGACATTAGTTTTAGGTGTACAACATAATGATTTGAGATGTGTGTATATTGCAAAATGATCACGACAATATGTCTAGTTAACATTCATCACCATACAGTTACAAAATTTATTTTTTCTTGTGTTAACTTGTAAGATTTATTCTCTTAGCAACTTTTAAATATACAATACAGTATTGTTAACTATAGTTACCATGCTGTACGTTTCATCCCCAAGACTTATTTATTTCGTAAGTGGAAGTTTGTGCTTTTTAACCACCTTCACCCATTTTCCTACCCCCTACCCCCCTGCCTCTGGCAACCACCAATCTATCCTCCATATCTATGAGCTGTTTTTTTTTTTTTTAAGATAACCTAAGTGAGATTATATAGTATTTGTCTTTCTCTGATTATTTCACTTAGCATAATGCCCTCAAGGTCCATCCATGTTGTCACAAATGGCAAGATTTCCTTCTTTTTTATGGCTGAATAATATTCCATTGTGTGTATATACACACACACCACATTTTCTTTATCCATTCATCCATTGATGGACACTTAGGCTGTTTTCATATCTTAGATATTTTAAGTGATGCTTAAATGCTTAGCTATTTTAAGTAATTTTAAGTAATGCACAGGGGGGTGCATGTATCTTTTTTGAGTTAATGTTTTTGTTTTCTTTGGATAAATATCCAGAAGTGGCATTAGTGGATCATATGGTAATTCTATTTTTAATTTTCTGAGGAATCTCCATACTGTTTTCCATAGTGGCTGCACCAATATACATTCCCAACAGCAGTGTACGAGGGTTTCCTTTTCTCCACATCCCCTCCAACACTTATTTCTTGTCTTTTTAGTAATAGCCATTCTGATGGGTGTGAGGTGACATCTCATTGTGGTTTTGATTTGCATTTCCCTGATGATTAGTGATGTTGAGCACATTTTCCTGTACCCATTAGCCACCTGTATGTCTTCTTCAGAAAAAATGTCTATTCAGATCCTCTGCCCATTTTTAATTGATTGTTTTTTTGCTATCGAGTTCTATGACTTCTTTATTTTGGATATTATCCCCTTATCAGATACATGATTTGCAAATACTTTTTTCCCATTCGGTAGGTTGCCATTTCATTTTGTTGATGGGTCATTTGCTGCGTGGAAGTTTTTTAGTTTGATGTAGTCCCACTTGTTTATTTTTGCTTTTGTTGCCTTTACTTTTGGTGTCAAATCCAAAAAAATCATCACCAAGACCAATGTCCAGGAGCTTACTGCCTATGTTTTCTTCTAGGAATTTTATGGTTTCAGGTCTTATGTTCAAATCTTTGATCCATTTTGAGTTAATTTTTGTGTATGGTGTAAGACAGTGGTCCAGTCTCATTCTTTTGCATGTGGCTGTCCAGTTTTCCCAACACGATTTATCGAAGACAATGTCTCTTCCCCACTGCATAGTTTTGGTTCCTTTGTTGTAAATGAATTGACCGTGTATGCATGTGTTAGCCAGCACTGGTGATCAAGTGGTTAAGATTCAGTGTTCTCACCGCTGCAGCCTGGGTTATTTTCCTGGTTAGGGAACCACACCACTCATCTGTCAGTTGTCGTATTGTGGCAGCTGCGTGTTGCCGTGAAGCTGAAAGCTATGTCACCAGTGTTTCAAATACCAGCAGGGTCACCCATGGTGGACAGGTTTCAGTGGAGCTTCCAGACTAAGACAGACTGGGCAAAAGAATGTGGCCACTTCCAAAAAAATTGGCCATGAAAACCCTATGAATAGCAGCAGACCATTGTCTGATATAGGTGAAAAGATGGCACAAAAATACTAGGCAAGGTTCCACTCTGCTGTACATAGGGTCTCTAGAAGTCAGAATCAACTTGATGGCACTAACAACAAATGCGTGGGTTTATTTCTGGGCTCTCTATTCTGTTCCATTGATCTGTGTGTCTGTTTTTATGACAATACCATACTGTTTGGATTACAATAGCTTTGTAATATAGTTTGAAATCACTGAGCGTGATGCCTCCAGCTTTGTTCTTCTTCCTCAAGATTGCCTTGGTTGGGCCGGCCCCATGGCTTAGCAGTTAAGTGTGTGCGTTCCGCTACTGGCGGCCCGGGTTCGGATCCCGGGCGCGCACCGACGCACCGCTTCTCTGGCCATGCTGAGGCCACGTCCCACATACAGCAACTAGAAGGATGTGCAACTATGACATACAACTATCTACTGGGGCTTTGGAGGAAAAAAAAAGAGGAGGATTGGCAATAGATGTTAGCTCAGAGCTGGTCTTCCTCAGCAAAAAGAGTAGGATTAGCACAGATGTTAGCTCAGGGCTGATCTTCCTCACAAAAAAAAAAAAAAAAAAAGATTGCCGTGGCTATTCAGGGTCTTTTATGTTCCATATAAATTTTAGGTTTGTTTGTTCTATTTCTGTGAAAAATGCCATTGGAATTTGGATAGGGATTGCATGGAATCTGCATATTCCTTTTGGTAATATGGACATTTTAACAATATTAATTCTTACAGTCCATGAGCACAGGGTATCTCTCCATTTATTTGTGTCATCTTCAACTTGTTTCATCAATGTCTTATGGTTTTCAGTGTACAGGTCTTTCACCTCCATGATTAAATTTATTCCTAGGTATTTTATTCTTTATGATGCAATTATAAGTGGGATTGGTTTTTTTTCTTTTTTTTTATGAGGAACATCAGCCCTGAGCTAACATCCATGCCAATCCTCTTTTTTTTTTTTTTTTTTTTTTTTTGAGGAAGACTGGCCCTGGGCTAACATCCATGCCCATCTTCCTCTACTTTATATGGGACGCCGCCACAGCATGGCTTGACAAGTGGTGTGTCCCTGCACTCCCGGGATCTGAACCGGCGAACCCTGGGCCGCCGCAGCAAAGCACACGCCCTTAACCGCTTGCGCCACGGGGCTGGCCCTCAAGTCTTATTATTTAAGAAATACATTTCATAAGGCTATAGCTGTCATAGATAGTTATTCCTCTGATGGATCTGGGCAAAGTAAATTGAAAACTTTCTGGAAAGGATTCACCATTCTAGATGCCATTAACAACATTTGTGATTCATAGGAAGAGGTCAAAATATCAACATCAACAGGAGTTTAGAGGAAGTTGATTCCAACCCTCAAGAATAACTTGGAGGAGTTCAAGATTTCAGTAGAGGAAGTAACCACAGATGTGGTGGAAATAGCAAAAGAAGAATAATTAGAAGTGGAGCATGAAGATCTGACTGAGTTGCTGCAATCTCATGATAAAACTTTTTTTTTTTTTTTTGTGAGGAAGATCAGCCCTGAGCTAACATCCACATCAATCCTCCTCTTTTTGCTGAGGAAGACTGGCCCTGGGCTAATATATGTGCCCATCTTCCTCCACTTTATATGGGATGCTGCTACAGCATGGCTTGATAAGTGGTGCCTCAGTGCACGCCCGGG